TTCGGACTAGTTGACAAGTTATGCTCCGGTCATTTGATGTTTCCAAGATAGATGTTCTTTTGTAATATAGTTAATTTTTTTGTATATTTCATTTATCCACCATCATAAATCATACATACAAGCCAAGAAGAGGTCGTTATACTAACAAGAGGTATCAGCGCTGGGCCAAAGTTCAGCACATGGTTAAAGTTTGTAATCCAGCCAGGGTGTAAATATCACTCAGCAGCCAGAGCTGAAGCAGGTAGCATCAACACAGAAATCTACTCTACCCGGCTTAAATCACAAGAGCACCTCTGACCAAAAAGCTGTAGATTTTTCTTGTTTGCACAAATTAATCCAGATTCACATTAATTGTGTTCACAGCTCCAACAAAATGAGGAAGAGAAGGGGGAGAAACACAATTAGGTTGAGTTACAATTGGATGGAAGGCGAGGACAAGGAGAAGGAAGCTTGGGATGAGGAGGAAGAAAAGCAGCAGGAGCATCTTTAGGGATCCCTATGATGTCATTGAGGTTTGTTTCATTAGTATGGTCCTCTCACAAAGAAAGATGACTTGTTTTAGTTCACCTACTTCCTGTATTAAATAGTGATGTGCAAAATGTTGTGGAAAACCATGGAACAGGCACGTATAGTGCATCTGCAGGTAAATGAACATCAAATCTCTAAGACAGACTGAAATCTGTATATTTATCACCCTTATGATAAAACCCATGTCAGCCATTGGTTTATGGACTTTGTATTTTGAAGCCTCAACATTTGCTTTATTGCTGTTGCTATGTTGGGACCATATTAGGATGAGGGATCAGAATCTGGAGTCATGCACACTATTGTTTCATTTAGTGTGTATCCATAAGATTCGTACAGCAGATCCAAGTTGTGCCTTGAAAACAGGAAAGTCGTCTGCATAGAGGAGAACTGTAATAGCAGGCTTGTACAAAGTGAGGCTTTGTGCACTCGTTTTACTTCTGTCACCCTGTTTTGATGCAGATTTCACTTGAAATCAGGCAAGAACTGGACTTATTTTTTTATGTGTTCTTGTGAATTGATTGTGTATCGCATACATTTGATTTGACTTTCTGCAAGACAACAGTCGTCCACTGGCCAAAACAGTTTTCCAAATACCTCCACGTGATCTAGCCTGGATTTAGAAAAGAATAGCAAAAAAAATCTGCACCTCCTGCTTCAGATGCAATTGTGTTTCTGTGTTCAGAGGCAGCGGCGAGAGGGGAGACCTCGGCTCATCCAGCTGGAGAGCCTGACCAGGAGGAGTCGAACATTAACTCAGCTCTTCCAGGGCACCCTGCAGACTCGGCTGTTGGCATCGACGAGGGATGACGTGAACGCCAAACTGGAGTCCATCACAGGTCAACTGCAGGTATGCGAGTCAGACCTTATGAGGAGGGTTTCACTTTTCTCTCTTCTTTATAATTGACTCTTTTCTCTCTCTTTCAGCTCCTTGTCTCAGAGTGGGAGGGATTTGAAGCACAAAGGGAGGAACTTGTCGTTTGGTTGGCTGATATGGATGTCCGCCTGAGTGAGGTTGACCAGCTGACAGGAAACACCAGTGAAAACTGAAACAACTGCAGGTGTGGGCTTGTTTTGATATGACATATGTTTGATATGAAACATACGTCAGAGACATTGTCCTAAACTGGACTAACAAAGGGCCATGAGTACAACATGAAAAGTACATTACATAGCGTAAGGCTGAAGTTCATTGATCATTTTAATCATAAACTTGTTGTGAAATGTTTTTACTGAACAATGCAAACATCTGCTGATAAAATGTGTTGATTTATTGGTCTGTTATGAAGCTATTTCTAATGTGTTTTATCACTTTCTGATGTTTTATTAATTAAACAATACATGTGTTATTTTTTGTGTTATCTGTAGCTATAGTATTTATATATATTTATTTATAGTATAGCAAATATATTTAATTATTACTGTTTAAAACACTAATATGTGACATGTATTAGTAGTGATGTTGTGCTGAGGGTTAAAATGCCTTTTTGTCTTTTGGTATACTACAAAATGACAATAAACCATTAATATATGTCTATGCTGTGCTCGTATTTATTTTACCCTGCTCAAATTCAATTTGATGCATTTTATTTTGAAAGATTTAAAATGGTTTTTTAAAGAACCACTGAAAAAAGGTTCTTTAAAATGGTTCTTTTAAAGAACCATTTGAAGGACCTTTTTAAAAATGGTTCTTTAAAGAACCATTTTTAAAAGGTTCTTTGAAAAACCATTAAAGGTGCCCCAAAGAACCATTTCTTGATGGTTCTTTGGGGCACCTTTAAAGGTTCTTCAATGAACCACTGAAAGAAATGGTTCTTCAAAGAACCATTGTTTGAAAGGTTCTTTGTGGCACCAAAAAAGGTTCTTCTATGGCATCAGTCTAAAGAACCACTTTTGGTTCCAGTTGGCACCTTTATTTTTCTGAGTGCATGGTGACCACTAAGAACCATTTTTAACATGTTTATTAGCCATATTATAAAAATTACAAAAAAAAAAATTGTTTCCACTATTAATAAGCATAACAGGTTGGACGTGTTATGCTTTGCCACATTACAAAATCTTGCTAAAACATTGAAAAAAGGGTTGATTAAAGAGTGGTACTTACTCGTCTTCTTCTTGAAAGTTTTCCCTCCAAAATATGTTACATCCGGGAGTGTCATGTGACTAAAAGAATAATCAGGTGATGTGTTCTATGGAATTCTTATCAGAGTAACAGGGGTGACAGTTGATTCAGGGACACAACATTTTTTAAAGATTTTAAGTATTAAACATGCATTAATAATAAAAAAGAACATTTGATGAGGAACATTAGAAATAAGCCAATCCAGAAATGATGAAAAATCTAGATTTCTTTTTTTTTTTTTAAGTTATATTTGTAACTGAAGTCGAGCAAGCATGACTGGGGACATAGTACTTTAGTGACTTGTGCTAAAATAAAAGTAATTTACTTTTAATGTATTTATCCTGTGTATATATCAATGTGTTCTATGGTAGAGGGGGGTTAAACATACAAGAAAATGGTTTAAAATAAGCATTAGACAAGTTTTACACTAAATATACCATATTATGTCATTAGGACTCAAATGGCACCGAATAGTAAGAATGACCCAACCAACACAGAAGAACGGTCTACCTCAACCCTCGGGCCCCACAGGCAGTAATGCTCAACAGCTGTTCTCATGCCACATGTGCACAAACCATCCCTAACCTCCTCTGACTTTACTTCTAAATACGAACCAATGCAACAGCAGTAAGGTGCTGATGTTTCATCCTCCTCCACATCTGCTACAATAGATAATGAGGTATTGTTATTACTACCATCACTGTTTTTATGAAGGCATTGGTATTCAGGCTATACAGTGGCTAAATGCCTGGTTGAATGCACATAGCAGGGAAGTTAATGGGAGACAAAGACATTCTTCTTTGAAATTCTGGATTGCATCCTTGTCTTTGGCTAATGTGTGCTCAACATAAAACAGATCACCTTGAGGTACTTCAGGGACTCCATGGGAGTAACTGTAAAAACAAAATAAACACAAATAATTCAGTGATAAACAGTGTTGGGCAAGTTACTTTGAAAAAAGTAATTAATTATAGTTACTAGTTACTTCTTCAAAAAAGTAACTGAGTTAGTAACTGAGTTACAATATTCTAAAAGTAATTAATTACTTGAAAAGTAACTATTGCATTACTTTTAAAAAAAAACGTTTAACCCTCTGGGGTCCAGGGTATAATTGGCCATTTTTAACTACTTTTGATTTTCCCTCCACATTTCACCTTTAAAAACTATTTACTTTGCCTTGTTTGGTATCATCCTTTTCAGCACAACCTCACGTGTCTGAATTTACAGTTATGTTTTCATTTTTACATACTGTATTAACACAATTGATCTAAAATCAGACAAAAAACATAAAATCCGAGTAGAAAGTTATATTTTTTACTGTAACAACCACAAACATGTTTATTGAATCATATTTCATAACCTTAAATGCAAATATAAATTGTCAAGTTTAAAATCCTCTGCACAAGTTTTGCAAACAACAAAGTTATTTGCATCCATTTACCTTTTACCTCGATTTTTTTAAACAACCATTTCAAACTATTTACAGAACCATCAGCTGTTCTGCATTCAATAAGATGCCTCACAAATTATTTGTGCCACTCCAAAAAAACTATTTCTGTCCACTATAAAGGAGAACATCACAGCCTGATACCTGCAGGTCTGACAGCAGCAGGTGTAACACTCCTGTCTCTACCTGGAGACAGCAGTCGCCTCATTGTTCTGACACACAACACAATACTATCCACAACACTACACACTAACTACACCAGACAACACATTAACTACACGCTCCAAACACGCTAAACGTCACAAATCTCTCACATCTCAAAACTCGCTCTCTCTCCTTCTGCTCTCTCTCTCGCCGTCACTCCTAACTTCCCCTGTTTGTTTTTTTGTTTGTTTGTTTGTTTGTTTTGGCTCATAAGCAGAGAGTGCTTGCTGCGCTGTCCTTAGACAGTAAACGTGACGAAACTATTGAGGAAAAAACGCCGCATATATTTTGTTTATGATGACTCTGGCTTTACGTGGCCTATCAACACAATTTATAAACTGGTGTATGTCACCTTGTTGCTTTATCTTTAAGTGGTCATGTGATTGGCTTACCACGACTACTTTATTCTTCCTCAGTCAAACAGCAGCACTCATGTGATTGTTTTGCCCCCTTAGCTCCAGGTGTTGCGCCAAAAAGTGATCGTGATTACCGCCCGCGGGAGCGCGCAGCTGCTTAAAGCTGTAACGTCCAGATTACTTACAGCTACTTCCGTGCAACTGATATAAGATGCTGTAAGCTGAACACAGCTTCAACCGTCTGTTTGTTGAAAAATAGTAACGGATCGCATTTTCTTGTTAGTAACTGTAACGGCGTTGTAACGATAGGAATAGTAATTAGTTCGATTACTCGTTACTGAAAAAAGTAACGCTGTTAGCAACGCCGTTACCCATCACTGGTGATAAATCACCATGAGCTGCATTGACTGTAAAGGTATTTTAAAAAACAAAGACCTTTGACGTAACATAGCATGTCGCCTGAAACTGAAGAGACATGGACTTGTTTCCAAGCTGAAGAATGAGGCTCGAACATGTAATCATTTTCTAAATTTGGTGCCAGTTTTCATTGTGCGCATGAAATGATGAAAAAGACGAAAGAAGAAAGGGTTGTTTCATTTCACTTTGAATGTTAAATCAATCCTATATTTAAAAAAACAACTTCAATTAACAGCAAAGTGGTTATTTTAAGCTTTAGCTCCAGTCGCTCCTTCACTGAGGACTCTCTGGTCAGCGCCCTTCGGGCTTTGCAGCCATTCTGGGATTCGTCTTGACAGAAAGTGAACTGGCTCTGGCAGATAAATCCAATCTGCTTGTACCTGATCAATCTTATATTTTATGATGTTTTTATTATTCTTGGTCCTTATAAAGATAACAGAAACACGAACTGTGCCTGTTTTTATAACAACGTGGTGATGTCTGACCTTTTGACCTATGACCTTTAAGCATTACATACTAAAATGGTGTATTTTATTATCTTTACCCATATGATTAAAGCGAGACTGGCTGAAATCTTTAGCTTCTATAAGATGTAAAAACTTGAGACTTTAAGATCTATTCATGCCGTGTGTAATTTTGAAAAACTTTCTGGTGTCATTGTAAAGTTGAATATATAAAAAGTGTGTTGTACAGCTCTCTCCGTGCCCTTTCATGTGATATAATACACAATATGACGGTAGGTTACTTAAGCTTTAGGACATTCCTTCTTTTTTTATACTCCTGCTCTCTCTGCTCTCCCTCTCTTTCTTCTGGCAGCTGCGCCTGATGAGAGGTCTGGAAGTTTGCAGATATTCAGCAGCGGAAGCTCACACCCTAGAGGATATGAAGAGTTTTCCCTAAACATACCAGCTGCTGCTGGTGGTATTATCATCATTAAGTTGTGCTGCTAAACTTTAACAAGGCGTGTTGTTTGATCCTAATTAGCATCTGGCAGATTGGGGATACAACTCTGAGCAAATGAAAGGCTTTAGGTGCTTCACATGTTCATCAGTTTTATGTTTCAGGGGGGGAAAAAACTCAGATCCGGATCACTGAGCATCTTTTACTGTCAGATGAACGGACTGATACTTGCTCCACGAAGGAGGGGTCAGGGAGAAAAGAAGGACTTCCTTTCTATAGGAAACTTTTCACATCTAATTCACAAAGAGGTCCAGACAGAGAGAGAGAAGGAGGGAGGGAGCTGCTGACTCAGGACTTTCCCCCTCCTCCGTCCCCGTCTTCTGAGCGGTGTGAAGCGGCAGTGCAGACGTGAACGAGGTGAGTCATTCAGATAGAGATCAGTCGGCTGCATGGGAGCGCTGTGGCGGTGATGTGAGATTGTGATGCATGACAGTCTGCTAGAAAGCACGGAGGCTTCACTAACTACAGTTTGGCTTTAACTTGTATAATGCTGCAGTGTGGACTACACAGCCAGCATAATAACTGCATGTACTTATGGATGCTATGAAATAAGAAGCATCGGTATGTAAACATGCCTTTCATCGTGATATTAGGAGAAAATCCCGTTTGATTTACAAGTTTCCAGTTCAAGTAGAGATTTCCGCAAGAAAGAAAAAAAGAGAAAATCTTATGTAATACCCTTGGTCAGAGCGTGAGCCATGTCAAACATCTGGGTAAATCCCAGAAGGACCCAAATACAAGCAAGCAGCACATTTCCACTGTGAGAAAGGAAGAAAACACCATTCAGGCAGTTGGGGTGAGGGTGGGTGGGGGGAATCATCAATCTATAATCACAATCAATTATTATAAATTCAAGTTTAAGCACAAATGACCAATAATGTAACCTGTAACCTGGGAAAGGAGCGTTTGTTTTGTTTTTTGTTGCTTTCTACTTTATTTAATTTGAAGCAGCAGATCAGCAGAATTTATGTGAGACTCCTAAAGATCTGCAAAACAGTGCACATTTACCCACATAGCGCTAAATCCAACCCCTGATTAGCGTTACGTAACTATGAATTGCTCCAAGCATATGGTGCTTTCTGCACCTCAGACAGACGAACTGTAGGATGGAGTCATAGTTTTATTGTTAGAACTCCTGAAGTCAGCTGACCTCACACCATGGGGATGGTTTTTATCGGTTTTATTAGACTGCTCACAGAGGTGGTCTGAGAGGATTTTCCTCATCGTGTTTGTTCTGGATTTTGAATTCTCCCTAAATATATTTGAGTTCAGGTTATCCTGTTATTGTTGTGCTTTGATTTTTGTGTTTGGACTTTTCATTCCTGCTTTTCATTCTCTATTCTTTATTTTTGCTTCTGCTCTTGATCTTTATTAGGGGTACTTTGAGTGTCCTTGGTGTTTCTCTGCCATCCCCACCCTCTGGCTCATCTTTCTGTGCTAACTTTTGTCCTCCAGTGTTTGCTTGTCTCATGTTTGGAGTGAGTCATCTTGTTTTGGCTGAAACTTCCAGTTTGTCCTGGTTGTCTTGATTACATTAACTTGCGTCTCATTCCCCTCCCCTCTTTACCTTCTCCCAATTAGTCCTCGGTGTATAAATAGCCCTGTCCTCCTTATTGCTCTTGTCGTGTCATCAGTTTTTGTTCCTGTTTTGTTCTCCGTGTTCTTTTGCTTCTTTTCTTCTTGTGTTTTCATCATTTTACCCTTGGACTCTGTTACTTTTTGGATTTGGTGAACAAAAAAAGATGACCTTTAGTTTAATCAACTGCAACTCAACCATTCAAACCCTCTCAGAGCTGTCTGTAGCACAAAGGTGGACACATAAGTGCTAAAATATGACTCAGACACAGAAAACCTCCTGCTTCTCTCATTTAGGAAAGTGTCCCTTTGAAATGGACTGTCAAAGAAAAGGAAAGAGAGTTAGACACAGCTGAATCCTGAAAACTAAGTCCTTATCAGGATTAATTCAAGGCAAAAACATAAATAAATAATTGGGGGGGGGTTAAATAGCATTTTCAAATTATTAGTTCCGTTTACAAAAATCCTGTTTTTGTTGTGAAGTCTTAATCCAAGTCTTCACCTTAAAAACATGCATTTTATACACAATTTTGACTCTGCATCTGATAGTGTCCTGATGTTTTGATGGCATTTCTCAAGTACTCTGTGGTTGCGCCTCTATTTTGCCCCTATGATTATTAAGAGTAATGTCCCATAGAAATATGCAAATAAATGTGAATGTAACATTTCAGGAAAACCCGTACGATGTGATACAGCGTTACACGAGAACCCTTTCCTGAGGGTGCCAAGTAAACATTCGGAAAATATCGGCCGCTGTGAAGGTGGATACCGGCATTTCATATCTGCTAAGGCGCATTACAGACTTACTTTGTTTCATGGTGGCTCTTACTTTGTTTCTTCTCTTGATTATAGCAAAACAACAAGAGCAAGTTATTTTTAAGAGCGTGCAGAGGTTGCGTTCGTGGTCTTTAGCTGAGCAGCCACCTGTGTGTAAAGGATGCAACTGTGGTTATGGACCGAGCTGTCCTATAAACACAGCAGTACACCCTGTTCTGAACACAGAGAGTCTGGCAGACGGCCATCACCTATCCCCCAGTTCTCCAGAGTTTGCTATCTGAAAACAAAAAAAGCCCAGGGTCATTTTTCAAACGATTTATGGTTCTTGCAGTCCAGTTTCCTTTTGCAATGTTAAATCTCTGTGGATAACACACAATGACTAGGTTAAGCAGCTGGTTCTCATTCATTTGCTCATTTGCGAGTCTGTCAATGGAGGAAAAATGTTGGTTCTGGTGACACACACTGTAGCAGCAACTACCGCAAACAGTGTCTGCGGTAGTTCCTGCTACATCTGTTTATATGTAGGCCAGTCTGTGAATAGAGTTTTTTTTCGAAAGAAATTCTGCAGCTGTGGATGGTACAGATGGTGAGATTAAAACAAAAACCAGCTACAAAGATTGGTTTGTAGAAGAAGTGAGTAAAGTACGCAGGAAGTAAGAGGAGCAGGTGTTTATGAGGCAAAACTAGCATGCCCAGTCTCAAACTCCTGTTGGCCACTGTCTAGCTGGCTGTGCAGTCATGGTAAAATATGGCCAGAGAAACATCTGGTTTGGCATGACTATACCAGAAAGCCCAGTTTTGTTTTTATTAACAGCATTATTATTATTGAGGTATACTCTCAGAATCACATTTAACTGACCATTAAAAGGCCGCTGGGCTGCCTGGTCAACTCATATTCAAACTTACTGACTGTCTTGAAAAAAACAAAAAGCTTTACTTGATTTTTTTTTCCACAGTTCCAGTCTCCTGATTTTTCTTCCCAGGTTGATGCATGTTTTTGCTGGCTCACTGCTTCAGATTCCTCTTTCTTTTTCCAGCTTCTGACATCATTATCTCACTTTCAAAGCAGCTGTCCAACAACTGACATCCCACATATAGGCCATCTCGCTATGTGATTACACCACTTGGGTTTCATTTTGATTTCAGCTACAAACTGGTAAAGTTTCATGACTTTATCTTACATGCTTTGTGCGACTTATCGCGTTCAGAAAGTAAAAAGACAGCTAGAAGTGCAGGCTCAAGTTCCCAGACGTGGAATAATCCAGGATTAGAAACCTTTCTCGCTGAAGGTCTTTGCTGAGTCTGAGCCAACAAGCAGACTTAACATACGTCTGGGAAACTGGATGATGAAACTCTGCTACAGTGAGTGTCACCAGGACACCACCAGGATGATGACACACAAATTCCAGATAATATAGAAAAGTCTCTCGAGTCCCTTTTCAGCAGATATTAACTCTCTGCTCTCACCTTAGTTACAGCCATGTCGGGCATCCTCCTCCTGCTCCTGTCCTTGTCCTGCCTGGTGGCCACGGTGCCTCCTCCAGTCCCCTGCAGACACTGCTGTGATCACCTGGAGCCAGCAGAGGGCAGCGGCGCCCAGCCAAGTAGTTATGCCCCTGAGGTCCGCACATATATCAACATGACCATTCTGAAAGGTAACACATCTATAGCAGCCATCTGAGGTCAAGTCAAGTCACCAAGCACCAAATCATTTTTCTGTGTGAACCTGTGTAATATATGTAGTAGAACATCTGCAGACTCACAGGTTTTCACAATAAAGCCAGAATTTTGGGGGGAAAAACACTTTTAAACACATGTGTATTTGAAATTTAAGGAGAGGTCTTGTTTTATAAAGAGTTATGTTGGGATGGAATTTATGGCAACAAAAAAAGAGTGAAGGCAACATGTTTATGAAGCCATGCAGGTCATTGGACAACCGAGCCAAAGACAACACAACAGGCCCAGTGTTTCTACACTGTATAATGTGCAAAAACAGAAAGTATGGCTGTGCTGAAGTATTTGGTCGTGTTTGAGACTAGATAAAGATGATGGACGGCGAGGGAAAACTATTTATTTCAATACTTTATTCAACAAAAAATATCAGCAAATATAGTTTTTAGATTAGAGGTGAAAAGTCTTCAAAAACTTAAATAAATCCAGTTACCTGTTTTTTGTTTGTTTTTATTTTTTCAAGCACAGACATCAGCTAACATGATGCTCTTTGTTATGATAAAGCAAGCTGGTCATTGGCATCAGAAGGAAGCATCACACCACTCACAGAACATATTGCAGGTTTTGGATGATTATCCGACAGCCTCAAAGACAATTTTAGACCAGCTTTCTTTGCAAAGCTCTTTCATTTGCAAGATGACAGTTTTCTTACATGTACTTTTAGTTCAATTCCCCCCCCCCAACGGCATTCATGTTAAAAGCTCTGCTTCAACTTCACTGGCCACCAGGTTCATACTGGTTTGCCCTTTTCCCTTCAGAACTGCTTTAATTCTTCATGACACAGATTCAGCAAGGTGCTGGAAGCATTCCTTGGTGACATGACAGTATCACACATGTTATTTGCTAAATTCATCCTCACCATTTTTCTGAAGGGCATGATTCTACCATCTATGGGTAGAGTTTCAAACAGGATCAAACGACTGTTCTGGGTTTTGGACTTTTTAAAAATGATCTCATACTGTCGTGTAATTATTTTCACTTTAGGTGACAAAGGAGACCGTGGTGAGAGAGGCACACCAGGCAAAGCTGGACTTGAAGGACCTCCAGGTTCTATTGGGCCATCGGGATCAAAAGGCTCTAAGGGTCAGGCTGGTCTCCCAGGAGACCCCTGCAAAGTCCAGTACTCTGCTTTCTCCGTTGGCCGTCGAAAATCCCTTCACAGCCTGGACTCCTATCAGGCACTTGTGTTCGACACGGTCTTCGTTAACCTCGACGACCACTTCAACATGTTCAAGGGAACGTTCGTCTGCCACATCCCAGGCATCTACTTCTTCAACGTCAACATCCACACGTGGAACTTCAAGGAGACGTACCTCCACATAATGCAGAACGACACAGAGCGGGCGATTGTGTACGCTCAGCCCAGCGACCGCTCAATCATGCAGAGTCAGAGCCTGATGCTGGAGCTGGAGCTGAACGATGAGGTGTGGGTCCGCCTGTACAAGAGGGAGAGAGAGAACGCCATTTACAGTGACGATGTAGATATCTACATAACGTTCAGTGGATACCTCATCAAGCCCAGTGAAGAGAAGGAATGAATCGGCCGAGTATTACTGTACCCGGTCGAGCTCGAAAGCAATTTACCACAAAACTGTCCTTGTAGATAAACACATACTCAACAAGATCAAAATGTTTATATAAAAAGAAAGACTCCTAGTTTTACCAGATTTCACTGGTGGGCTGAAAAAAATCCACACAACACTGTAAAACCCAATGACACTTTGTTAATAGTATAAAGTTAAAACATTTGTTTTACTAGTATAAATTTATACTAATTTTAGGTTCAAGAAGAGCCATACACGCGCATTCAGATTCAAAATTTCAATATTAATATTAAGAAAATATGAAGTCGTCACCGATTTAAGAAGACAAAACAATACATTTAACGAAATCAACAAATAATGAGTTAAATATTAAATAATTTAAATACTGCACAGCAGTGAGTGGCCTAACTAAATAAAATGGGCAGTGTGCTTTCTGCAGTAAGTATAAAAAAAACAATCACCACATGTTCACACGTCAACTGCACAGAAAAAACAGCGAGATCTGTCAAGAAGTCTCAAGTGGCCTCTACCGCTTAGATCTACTGCACTGCATGCAAGAAGCAGTGAGAAAAACCACACCAGCTCTCTGCAGCACTTCCACTGTCTAGTCAAACATAAGGCTCTGGGGCCAGAATCAGCCCAGCGAAGACTCGATTCCGGCCCACTGGACGGCTTTAGTAAATGTAAGGAGTGCATAAATATTTAACTTTTAACTGTATTTCCATAAGTTTTACAGCTTTTCTTATTGATAAAGACTGGCAATGGGGGTGGGCAGTCTTTATCAATAAGAAAAGTTTTTAACTAACAGATAAACAATTAAATGACAGGAAATGTTCCTGTTGTTCCACTAAGTCCACTCTAAATGAATAACAATAATTATAGGACAGTGTGTGCAATGAACTATCGTCAAATTTTGTGTCATTTTACACAATTATTATGTCGTTTGACCGCTTTGACCCAAAGATCAAAGCGGGCTGCATGTGGCTCAATAGAATGAGTTTGATATCGCCGGTCTAGAACCAAAAAAAGCAAAGAAAAAAACAGGGTTTGGCAACCCTAAAACCACACCAGATTGGTATCTACAAGGGCAATGCTCTGTATCACTATTAAAAAGAAAAAGAAAAACTTGAATTAAATATCTTTATCTCAGGGAGGAAAAAATAAAACCATTTAAAACAGGATACATCAAACAATAGGTGTGCAATAGCCTAGGCCCTGAAATCTGTCTTTAGATTAGATTCACATTTCAACAGGTATCACAGGATACGGTTGCAGGGTCTGCTTTGAGCTTCTGACAGGAGTGTAACATAAGCCCTTCTTTTCTTCAGCCGGGGGCTCAAAGCCAAAGTCAGTCTGACTTTGGAAAACCAAGACGATCAGTCGCATCACCTCCTTGCACCAACGACTCTTATACTGATCCAGCGTCAATCAAACAGATTCATTGCTTTCAGCTGTGCTCATAAAGGGAAAAAAATGACTGCCCACACCTGCCTGTAAGAGATGGTGCTTAGTCTTAGCTCTCACAAATGTGAAACATGCACATTAGTTAGCTTTACAGGTGACTGTGGGCAGATTCTGTTACCCTTACCTAAAGGTGGGGGGACTGTTTCCACTGTGCTGAGCTAAGCTGGCAGCTGTAGTTTCATATTTGCCAAATGAGAGAGGTAAATATATTCTTATGAACCCCACAGTAAAAAGAAAAAAGAAAAATTTGCATTATATAACATTTTATAACCCACAAAGCAGTTTCATTGTGTTTCTCAATCACAGACATGTTTTTAAACCATCAAATATCAAATAAGTCTTGGTTTGGAATCCATCACTCCTGCCCCTGATGTGTAAAACTAGATTCATTAAACAAAGCATGAACTTTACAAAGATGCAGGCTCAATCTGTTTATTTAACATGAAAAATTATCTGTATTTGGTGTTCAGAAGCATTTTATATGACATTCACTGGGAAGATTTGCTGTTAGTGAGTTTTGCTAAAACACGGTGCTAACTGAACTCCTGCTGAATTTGGGTTTGGGAAATGTATATTTTACAAAGTATTCTCCTTTCCTTCTAAGATTTACATCTTCAGCTAACTTTAATCTTTTATGCATGCAAAACCAATAAATTAAAAACACAAATAGCTAAGCTCTGGCAGTCATAGTTTAAAATGACTCGACACTCTAACGAGTGAGAAAACTGATTCTCCAGACGACAGCAAATGAATAACTCTCACCTTCTAATCCTGAGTCGTGCATTAATAACAGATAAATAACAGCCAGAAAAGTCTTTTTGTTGCAAAACTGCGATGTTTAACCTTTATGATGTCATCATTTCATCTGAGTAAACCTTCACTTCTAACCACTAAAAACTTTTTAAATCGTCCTGGATTCCACATAAACATTTGTGTCAGTTTGAGGAAATTCCCTGATAGCATTCGTTAGATATTACAAGGGAAGTGCAGACACACAACCCGACAAAGTTATGTCACTAAAGCTGTGAAGGAAAATGAAACTACGCTGCCCTCTGGACTGCAGAGCTTAATGCAGCACAAAACACAAATACTAATCTGAATATTAAAAGCACTCCAAACATTGATACATAATGTAATATTTGAGAATGAAGCATTAATTAAACTGTATACACTAAAAAGTGAGCCATTGCCGTATTGCTTTAAACCTGCATTCTTTCTAATGGCCAGCAGGGGGAGACTTATCAGGCTGTTAAAAGAAAAATAAGTAATGTTACTTTCCTTTCCCTGTGACGAGAATAAACATTTTCATTATGACTTTATGTGCTCAGTTACTAATTTCAGGTCACAGTTGGGTTCACGTTGTAAATATGACCATTATTAGAGTCACAAAACAGGATAAATCAGCGTATACTCACGACCAGTGTTGGTCAAGTTACTTGAAAAAAGTAATCAGTAACTAATTACTGATTACTTCCCCCAAAAAGTAATCCAGTTACTTTACTGATTACTTCTGCCCTTTTCAGCCCAATTCTACTTTTTCTGCATAATCCATCATACAAAATGTAATCAAATGGAAAAGTCTCTTTTTTTTTAAACTTGTTTTATCAGTGTTAATCTTTTAACTTTATGCATCAAGCAAAAATGAAATTATATGCAACATTCTCTAACTTGAAGAAATTAGTTTAACATTTAAACCTATTTTCTGCACATTCCAGCACATAAAATAAAATATTTTTTGTGTTTACACTCAGTCTTTCAAATAGATGCAAGTAAAACACAGCAGAAAATAAATAAAGTCAAAGACTAGCGGTCCTGTTGCTCTATTTTCACCTGTAAAGCAGGAGTGGGGCAGGCGGAGGTGTGCTCTGGTGCAGGTGTGCCGCAGCGGTCAGTTGAAGAATCCGTGAGTTTCTCTGTGAGTTTCCCATTATGCCGTAGCGCACTCGGTGCTTGTTTAGGGTGTTTTTTCGCTGTAAAAAGTTTTCTTCCCACGCACAACGGACGCTAATGTTTTTGTCACTTTTTATGGAATCAAACTCAAAGTAAGGTCAGTGCTTCCTCGCTTTAAACGCTGCACGCTCATACTCTCTCCCGCACTCGATACATGATCCACTGTTGATCTGCACACAGCTGTTGTCACGAACGTCGCACTCGCTTACGTCACTGTCATGAGACATTCTCGCAAAAAAATCACGGTTTTAGTAACGCAGTAACGCAGCGTTCCTACGGGAAAGTAACGGTAATCTAATTACCGTTTTTGCAATAGTAATCCCTTACTTTACTCCTTACTTGAAAAAAGTAATCAGATTACAGTAACGCGTTACTGCCCATCTCTGCTCACGACTCACAAGTCATAAGGCAGTGAGCGTGCCGTGGGCCTCAGTTTCATGGTTAAATCTAACAGTGCGCTCCATTTGAAGTTGTGTATACACTGTTGTGTATTTGTGACTCGCTAAATAAGCCATACATAGAGCACTGACCAGCCAATATCCATGAAAGCACTGCAGCGATGTTTTGAAGAGCAAAAGCAGGTGTTGTGCTGTTTTTCCACACTTGTGTCAAATCACTCCCAGTTCTCACTTCTGAGACAAATGGAACGCAGCATGACCCTCACTCACCATGGGTGACGTCATGGGGGTTACATCCATCTTTTATATACAGTCTGTTCCACCTTTAAGGTCGTGCCGTTGATGATCTAACAGCAGTGACTGCTTATCCAGCTTTGGTTATTCCGTGACTGGAATAAAAAGTGAATGTTGTTTATAGTAGTCAGCAACAATAATGATAAGAACATCTTTTTGGACACATGTTCAATGTAATTCTCACTGTGAGACCGTCTTATTTCATGTCCACTCATGTCAGTCCCCACAGACTGACATGAGTTATATAAAATAAATGAAAGAAGCAGAAAACGGGTTATTGTTCATTTGTTTCTACTCATCTAAACTATTTATTTTCTGCCATTCACTTGTTCACATTACCATCATGTGTCCCTAGGGTCAGTCCTTCAGCTGGAACCTGCATCATTAAACTTAGATTTGTTGATTTGTTGTCAGGGTATATCATCAAGGTGGGTTTCCAGCCAATCACACATACATCACAGCACCTTATCTGCCTGACATAATCTACTGGGCATAATCAGGAAGCATATTTAAGACATGCCATGTTTATGGTACACTTTTGTCTTTTCAGTTTGAACTAAAGCCACGAATATTTAGGTTTGCTCTAGTATATAGGTGCCCAGATCAGCACTGGCAGCCACGACAAAATGACTGGAAGATGGTGATAAACTTGTCCACACTGACACCTTGAGGAATAAAAGTAGAGGTGCTTGTCCCACCTGTGATATGAATCACAAACATATACAAGCACAAACAAACTAAAGCAAGTGGCGAGCTGAAGTGTTCACACTGGAGACACGGTCAGCATTTCCTGTTAACATTTTTGTGGGCTGCACTGGTTTCCTGTTATTCTCTTATAAGCCATGTGTTTTTCACCACGATTCTCAGCTCTCATTCAAAGTGATAGTTGTGTTTTACATTGTGTAACCTTTCGCAGTCTGGTAGATTAATGTTAGCATTGCACATAATCACACTAAAGAAGAGCAGATTAACCTTTCCTGCCCCGCAACATTATTTCTCTGAATTCCAGCTACATGAATACTTCTAAAATGTGCCATCAAGTTCAAATATGACATTTGTGTTTTTAACGTCAGTTGAGATGAAGTACGCTATGGTTTTTGCACTGCCGTGTAAACAAAGTGTTCAAGGCTCCCGTTGAAAAAAGAAAGCAGCATTTATTCATGATTTTTATTTCTGCCAATAAATAAAAGTCAATTCTTTGCACTTTCACAGAAATGAAAAATATCATTTTTAACTGAATGAATGTGAACACTCACATAAAAAAAGACCAAAGAACAGAAGTTTGTTTTTGTTAAAGATGACTGACTTGCAAAAAAAAAAAAAAAAAAAAAAAAAACACGAGTAAGGTTGAAATGCAGTTTTTTTCCATTATCTTCATACAAACAAGCTTCTTTTTGTATATTTAGAACAATGATGTTGAGATGACATTAGATTTTTAATTATTTTGTTGTTGTTTTTTACAGTAACAACACCCCACAGTTGCACAAAACAAACCAAAAAGCATTGAAACGACACTGACTCAGTGTGTGTGTTTGTGAGTGCACACACATAAGAACGTGCAGAATAATGTCGGACAGAGCATGACCTCACATACAGTCTGAACCAAACACAGGCACGCTGGAGAAACAAATTCATACAAATTCACACATAAAGACATTTACGGTTCTCCAAAAGGGCTCCTATGTTTCCTTTTTCCCCCCCCAAATGATGATTGCACACGATAAACACAGGCCAGCACGTCAAACATACTTTGCTGTGGCTTCATACAGCTCTTACTGTATTTGGATTTAAGTAAAAATTAAGTCCTACAAAAATACTTTTTTTTTTTTGCTGTGTAAACTTTTGCAACCAAAGGCACTGTCTTCCCTTTGCACTTTTCTCCCTTAAAATTGACCCAGCCTCATGCTGCGAAGCTCCGACTCTAACCGTGTTCACGCCTTCGCCCTTCAGCTAGCGCCGAGTATAGCCTCATTATACGTTACAGTTGTACTTTGATGTTATCATCAAACCAACTCGATGCATCTCACAGCAGCGCAGTAGCGTTGCACAACTGAAAACTGTGTTTTGCTGGCTTCATATAATGTGCTCAGCTCATTTGCTACAAAAACAATGCATCCCATGAAAATTCTGCCCTTAGATTTTAAAAAATGTAAATAAATTACTGCCTATCAATGCTCCCCCTCAGCCTCCTATTAGATGCACCTATGGTATCCTCCTTCAGTTATCACATTCACAAGATTTTCAGAACTTGACCTCTGACCTTAGAAGAGGTCAGTTATCACCTATGGCATCAATTTGAAATTCCTAAGTTGCCTCGTGTTCACAAAGTTGGGTGTCCACACCACCCCGGTTACCCCCGTCAACCCCATCAGCCTTTTATGGCACTGTTGCAGTCTTCAGGGTTACCCAGCATAATTAAGTGTTAAAAACTGTACACTGTGCATGGAAACACCAAGCAAGTGTTGATGGCAACAACATGAAACAAAAGAAAATGTTCCCTTTACAAACTGTTTAAATACACAGAGGCACGTTTGAACAAGTACAACTATGAAGACCAAAAAAAAAATCCTCACACCAGGGATTTATATTTTAAAAGACAAGCTGAGACAAATCCCACTAATCTGCCTGCTGTGCTGCCTAATGGAGCTGCTGTGCTTCTGTACGATGAGGCTACATCATGCTTTGAAACTGCTAAAATAAAGCAAGCAGCTAAAATGTTGTCAGAATAAACTGTTGGTATCATTTAATGGGCCATGCAAATGTTCCAGGTGTGAAAAAGCAGCAGGGTTTTCTCTGTAAGAGTTAGCAACATGAACATATTCTTCATGTCCGTGTATGAGGTATAACTGAACTGTCATTAGTATGCATTTTCAACAGAAAAATCCCTTTCATGCTTAACATAAACGTTGCACTTTTACAATGTGAAATAAATAAGCTGACCTACAATTAAAGGAACTACAATTAAAACTAAGCAAGCAGACTTTTTTTTTTTTTTTAAAGCAGGCCAAAATTTCCAAAACTGCTGCAGCCGTGCTAGCATCACAACGAGCATGGTTTCCGTGCCCCCGCAGAGGTGGGATCTTTCAAACGTCGCACTACAGAAGCCTCTCTGATCATCACAGTTAGTCACAACACAACTGTGGCCACAAATGGCAGGCATGAAGGGGACATCAAAGATGAGACTGCAGCACACGCAGCATGGAGTTTTGAATTAAAGGGGACATGTTACTGCCACAACTACGCACGATTCAGAGTTTAAACAAAAAAAACAAACAAACTGGGCCTCAGTGAAGAACCTCAGCTCATCTGCTGTTCACCTCCTTTCACCTCCCTTTAAGCCAGCTTTCTTCTTCTGATTGGTTTTGCCCTTTGTAGACAGGAGGTTCGAGCAGCAGAGGGGTGGAGCAGCTGGCTATGAGACAACCAACATTAGGAATAGCTGCTCCCACTGATGTCATTCAGATTCAAGAGTAGGAAAAAGAGACAAAAAAACACAGTTTGAAATTAAACATTAGGGCTTGAAAAGGGTTTGAAACTTTGGCCACGTTTCGTATCAGCATCCACCACTGTAACAGCACATATATGAAAGAAAATAAGGAGAGAACACAATAGGTCCTCTTTAAGGACTACACTGAACACACTTTATCCGTTTGTTCATGTCTAACCTCTGTGCTTCTTGTTAGCTTTGTTGAGAAAAACCATAACTGATAATGGCTTTGACTCATTAGTGTGCTTCCTCAGAAGATTGAGTGTCTAGACGTTTAGTTTAGCATAAGCAACACTGGAGAAAACATCTGCACAACCCAGAAGAAGGAGGGATGTGTCACTGTGGTTGGGGTCAACATTTAAATAAGAAAAACAAAAACACATCTTGTCTGCGTGGCTCCATCAGCTCAGTAGAATCACGAGTCACTCATTGATGAGTGAGTCTGGTTTCTCGTATCCAAACAGCCTGAAGTCAGGTTCGTACAGCTTGTACAGTTCCCTGCGTGCCTCTACTGGAACTGTGCTGAACCAGTCCGACTCCCAGCTGCTGGCTGTAAGGTTCCTGCTGGAGGTGGGAAACTCCACCACGTTGTCTACCCGCAGCAGTCGCAGCAAGTGCTCAGCATCTTCCTCTGCCGTCTCTAAGTGTCCCACAAAGTCATACTGAATTTGACATGGGTGACAAAGCCGATACACTTGCCGCCAGTGCTCATTGAAGGGCATGTCCTTCTCTGTCTGAGGGTCCAGGAGATACTGGATGAAGTGGGAGAAAGAGGGATGGATACCCAAAGAAAAGGCTTCATCCACAGAAGCAGGAGGCGTCGGCTGGTTGCCGTAGCGGCGCAGCATGACCTGCGCAAAGCGTCGGTAGAAGTCCTCATTGGGTAGCTCAAACTTATTCCGGTAGGCAGAAATGAGACGGACAAAAGGGTCGCGCACAAAGAGGAACTTGGTGTACTTCTTCAGCTTCACCTGGGAAAAATAAATTACAGTTTTCTTAACATTCAATTATTGAATACACACATGTGCATTTCAAAACTGTAAAGGTGAGAAAAAAAAAAAAAGAACAGAGCAGAGCAGAGAGCAGTATTCATCTTCCTGTGCTGCATCAATAATGTCTCTGTGAGAGATCAGTCATGCATCCCCATAACATTGAAGGGCCTTATATAAAACAGAATAAACATCTAACTGAGGTAGAAGGTTCAGAACACATTCCAGGTAGCTCGAAGCAAATTCATCAAAAGATAAAAAAATAAATCAACAGCATATTTACCAAGTTAAATTATATTTTTTTACTACCATACAGAGAACAAGAAGGTGGGAAATTTGGACAGACCTTCATGAGGTGCCTTGCAAACTTGCCATAACGTTTCCAGAACTTATTGAAGGTGAAGTGCATGCTGCTGTTGTGGACCAGGTCCCTGGGGATGGCCAGGGGGTCTCTCTGAGGAACGCCCTCCTGCAGCAGGCTTTCACTGAGAATTATCATGATGCGCTTCCAGTTACTGCACGCTACCTGAGAAGGGAAAGTTTATTGTCCACTCAGATGTCACAGTGAAACAGGCAGATACACACTGTCTATGAGCGTGTGACCACTGACAGGAGGGAACCATGTATGCCGTTGTTACATGTGCCTTATTAAGTTTTACAGGAGCATGTGTCTGCATACCTTGGGAACATAGCAGTAGATAATGCCATGCCTGTCATCCACGATTAGATGATCCAGCTCCTTGTTGGGAATGTCGTCAAATGAACGGTTTTTGCCATGAAATAAGATGCTGTCATTGGCGCACATCTCCTGAAGCAACCTCCGCCTCTGCTCCTATCGTTCCATTCGTGAAGCACAGGAAAATTAACAATTACCAACTGAGGTTATAAATACTTCATATTCAGACATTGCTCACTGACTGGGGAGCTTTTGCTCCTTCATTTACATATTTAGGGATATTAACCAAAATTATATCTACAGCAAGAAGTATCAACAGTATCAACCTCTGTGGATGCCTTTAAGGTTACTGCTGTCACACGTGATTATAGTTATAACAGGCTCTTTTTCTTTAATGCCAGTTTGAATTTCTTAAATCTGCGACTAGGTTAACACTGTCTCAATTAGAAGCTCTGCTCCTGTCAACTACTCACAGCCCAGAAATGTGAAGGTTCTGCTCATTAGTACAGATTTCCTCACTGGACTTTGTTAGATGACAGACATTTGGATGTGCTGGAGCAGGGAGAAGGCACACAGGTGGAAATAAGAACAACTTAAGTGACTCTATTTAAGTCATCTCATTGAAGAAGCAAGAAACCGGCACGCAGAATGATTCATTTTTTGTGCAGCAACTGTGCTTTTCCTGCTAAGACATCTCAAAATGCCAGCAGTAAAACTTTTAATCAACTAGTAAACATTTACTACTACTAACAACAATAAAAACTGAGTTAACCTGTCTGTCACGGAGCTCTGGAGCCAGTGGAGTCAGGTGAATCTTCCACTCCCGCCGCGGTATATATCGTTCCTCTGCTTTCTCTGACTGGTTGCTTGTGTCAGCCGGGGCAGCGTCAGTGGGCTCACCAGTTCCCGGCTCTAAGAACTGGTTAACAAAGGCATCGATGTCCGACAGGAAGGACGGGGCTCGAGAGGTCTGTGGCCTCTTCTGGGGAACGGGGTGTGGGACTTTGGGGCCCGGGGAGACAGGAGTGTGCAAATAGAAATGGGAGGCACCGACATCGTCCCAGTAGATGATGATCAGAAGGATCATAAAGGCCGAGCCCAGGACTACAAAAATGCGGAACATCCTGGACGTTCCCATGGTGACTGTTGCTTGCTACAGGGTCACCATGGCAACAGAGTCAAGGTCCAGGAGCGCTCTCTCTCTCTCTCCCTCTCTGTCTCACCATGGCGATAGATGCACGGAGTCTGTGGTAGCATCAGACTTATTGTGGTGCTGGTGCATTGCAGGAGCGCGCTGCACAAGAGAAGAAGGGGTCAAACATCAATAAACTCACCTCTGTGTCATACCTACACACACACAAACACACAGAAAGCATAGTCGTGTCTTTAATGTCCAGCTGGAGTACAGGGTTCCACACCTGTTCTGACACTAACACAGAAACAATAATTTATTAAATTAATTATTTTGTTGCTTTGCAAATTCAAAAAAGAAGTCTGGTTAAAAAGCACAGAACTGCAGTCTGGATGACAGAAGCTTTCTAATGATTTTACTTTCATACAGTGAAAAGATTCAAAGTATCTGACAAAAAAAAAATCTGACAATTTTTTTTTTAAATGCAACAATAAATCTTTCATAGGATAATCCCCTTCCTTTCGTCTCTCTTTTCACTGTTTTTCCACTTTTCCCCACATTTAAGCGAACCTACTAAAGCATACACGTTGATGCTAAAGTAAAATGACAACCTACTAAGGTATTCTGGTTCTCCTATTAGTAAGAACTTGAAATCTAAAGCAAACTCAAGCGAGCATGACAGTTTATTGAGTTTGCTTTTTTGACGAGGCGCGCACTCAATCTCTCTGTCAGTGCTCGGAGCTGACCTCACTCCCACTCCCTGCAGTAAAATCACGAGTGGTTGTCAAATATTTCCATTTTAGGAGGCTCTGCACGCCATAAAAGTTTTGCACTGCACAAGTATCCAGCTGTATCCATAGCAGCTTTCCAGCTGATTAGGGCACAGCACGTTAATAGTGAGTAATGAAGTAAAAGCCCACAGTGAAAAAGGTCAACACCAAATATTTTACATACCCGACCACGATGTAGTCTGCATGTACAAAACACACTGAAGCCCTATGTCTTCAAGTGATGCACAAAATGGGTTTGTTTCTATAGCTACAGGAAAAAAAACAGCCTGGAAGTGATGGAATACATAAAGGATCTGTCCTCCCCGTGACTTAATTCAGCCGCAATTCATGTGTTTTAATCCACCGCCAGTCTATCTGCTCCTTCATGTTCAGTTTAAAAGTCGCAGGGCGTTACTTTCCATTCCTACGCACGTCTAAAATTGGAGCTCTCTGCAACAGTCCTCATATTATTTCCTCTTTCCTGAAGCTAAGAGGGGTCCATTGACATGGAAAGTCATCATCAGCCTACTCGGCGGCCTGCAGATGGCACTTCTCTGTGCACAAACAAATTAACTGCTGTTCTATAATATACATCATAAGCCCAAATGCATTAAGTTCATCAGTCACTAAATGAGCGTACATTAATTCCGCTAAATAAGTACAGTTCTGATATGCTTCTTCTTTTTCCCCAATCAGTATTTCTGTCTCATAGCACTTTACTTCTGCTGCACCACATATCAGAGGCACACTTTCTGAAACCACAGCTACAGTACTTCTAGGTCTAGATCTGACACACAGAAATATATAAAGGTCTATCAAATAATTTAAAAAAAACTCACAACTGATCGAGCACATTAGAAAAAACCGTGCTGCCACAAAAAAGCACATAAATTAATAAGCCACACCGGGTTATCATCATTACTAAATAATAATAGAAGAAATAGCACTTAACTTTCTTTGTTTGATAATTTGTTAATTTTATATGTATTGTTATGTTATGTTTTCATATTCCTAGCTTGCCTACTTTCTAGTCATGTTACTCATATGCGTTGTTTTTGCTGTGAATTTTGTAAATGTTGTGATTTATTATTATTACTACTATTATTATTACTATTATTATTATTAGTTGAATAATTAATCCGCTGGATTTTCTTCATCTTCTTGCGCTGTATGTTTGTGTGGAATTTTTTTGGTGCATTTCAAACAGCACAACAAGAAATTCACATTCAAATTCACATTCATACGAGTACATTTACCAAATCTTTTCGATTGGATACTGAATGTCAAGGAGGCCACGATTTCCACATAAGAACTCACATATCGTTAGCTTCATAGCATAAGTGCCTAAGTCATTGACTTAGTCAAATGACTTAGGCAATTATGCTATGAAGCTAACGATATGAAGCTTATGCTATTTAAACTACCCAAATCTGTTCATTAATATTATATTTCCTTCATTTTTATGCCTAAACAAGTTGGTTAAGTCTAAGAAAACTTGTGAAAAATATGTGTGGTTATTTCTTTCATTCAAGTCAGCACTGTTATCCGTGGACAGGAGGCTGAAGCTTTGGATTTTAGACGGACTTATTGGAAACATTTCCTCTGAGCGATTTAAACAGTCGCTTCAAAACTCTTTCGCGTTTGTTTTATTTCTCGGCACGTCCCCGCCGGTGTAACCCCGCCGGTGTAAACCAAAGACAAAGCCGTGTGCCGGTAGACCGAGCGGCAGATAAATCACTCCGTCCTGTCCGCAGCCGCCTCCAGCGGATGCCAGACCGGACACAATGTAGCCTTTGACGCGAAAGCAGCTCCGCGGGAACGGGTTGTTCCTCGCGCCGGAAAGCTCTCCGCGAGGGGGTTTCGGTTAATTAAAGCGTCGCGTGCAGCTGTTTGTCCTTTATCGGGTTTTTTTCGTGGGAAATAATGAAGAGAAGCCAAAGGCGGGCTGATAGTGTGCCTAGCGGTGTGTCTTGGTGTTAAAGTAGTCCTCGGCGTTGGAGAAAAGGTCAGCGCAAAACTGTTTAGCTGCTTAATAAGAGCCGACACGTTGCGTTACTTTAAAGATTTCTATGTAACGACAGGAACGACGTGGGAAAAACACACATTTCTCACCTCGCTCTGTGTCCACTAGCTCCCAGCGCCGCGTCAGCTGAACCTGTCTGTGCTACCAGCCGCTTTTTCTTGTTTTGTCCTCTTGGAGGAGCGCGAGCACCCAAAGCACCGCGAGAGTTCACAAGCTGAGCTTTCTGCAGATTGAGCGCACGAAGGGAAAAATTCACTTTTCTGGGTCAGCTCCAGCATACCGTGTCTCTGCTCGGGGATGATTTGTGGAGACAGCCTCTCCACCCTCCCTCCCAACCTCCCACAGGAGCAGAGTACTGAAAATAACATATTGTACCTGCAATCCTAAATGTCACCCTCCTCTCAAACACACGAAATAAGACCCTAAGAATGATCCTAAGTAAATGTGTTCGTGGGTACGTGTGATTATTTCCGTTGCCTCGGGCTGATGCGGTTAAAATCCAGTTATTTGTGAACTCTTTTCATCCTGTGACTTCCAACGTAGCAAGGAGCCCCCACAGAGCAGCTGATTTACTTTGCATCCCCCTCACACACACACAAAATCATCTGTTTTCAATCAGCATCACATATTTCACCCCGCTCCTAGGCCCCTGTGTTCTCATAAATGTACTATAACCTTGTACTCTGTACTCTGGCAGTATTTATACGTTGGACACACGCACACACACAACTAAGATTATATATAACATCACTCCTAAGAACAGATAGATGCGGATTATAAGAAAAAAAAAGAAAGGGGTGGGGGCACATCCATCCTGATTATTTTCATGTCAAGCCATGTATTCCTTCTATACATTTTATAATGTGCATGTATGTTATACGTTTTTAATACACTGGAGTTAAAGTCTGGTGAGCTTGTTATGTTCAGTGTGTGCCCGTTATGATCACTACTGTGGACACAAGCATGTCTTTTCACGCAGATGAGGAGATTATCCTGCATCCATATGAAAGAGTTTACTCTAAATCCCCTTCTGGCAGCCTCATTCTCACTAGATTGAATCCAAATGTGGTCATTAAAAAACCCCAAAACATCCAGACACTGATTTTAAGCCTTAGAAAACACCATGATAAACATTCAGTGAGTTAAAGAAGAGAAGTTCTTTTCATGTGGACCTGTGAGCAAGTCTAGAGCCACTCTTTATGTCTTTGTAGTTTGCAAGAAAGCTTTTATTTTTTGCATTACAATTTGTTACAATTACATGTTTCAGATCATCAAACAGATTTTCATATTCGATAAAAAATCTGTTCAAACCTATCTGGTCCTGTGTGAAAAAGCAATTGCCCCTTAATCCTAATAACTGGTTGTGCTACAATTGGCAGCTAAAACTGCAATCAAGCATTTGTGATATCTGCCAGTGAGTCTTTCACATCACTGTGGAGGAATTTTGGCTCATTCCTCTTTGCAGAATTGTTTTAATTCAGACACACTGGAGGGTTTTCAAGCATGAACGGCCTGTTTAAGGTCATGCCAAAGCATCTCAATCGGATTTAAGCCCAAACTCGGACCTTCTGGCATGTTTTTCCTGCTGCATAAGTGAAGCACGGTTGAGCTGCAGGACACAAAGTGATGGATGCACGTTCTCCTTCAGGATTTTCTGGTAGAGAGAAGAATTCATTCAGGGGCTGCTTGTCCTCAATCACGACAAGCAGCCCCTGACCATCACACTACCACCACCATGTTCCACTGTTGCTGATGATCTTTTGCTGTGTTAGTTTTACGGCAGATGTAATTATTATTCAACACAGCCTGATCTGTCTTAGGCAGCTTACTTGTCATTTCTTTAAGTAGTCTTCAGGAATAGTTCTCCAGGCTTCATGAAGGACATTCAAAGCTTTTCTTTGGATGTTTCTGCCTTTTGTTCTGTTCTCCATCAACATGATCAAACACTGCTTCAATAATTTTGAGCTCTGCAAATGATTGGGAGGCCAATCCATGACTCATAGTGTTCCACTCTGTGTTTTTCTATCCAAGTTTGATTTTACTCCACTGGCAGTGCGTTTGGGATCATTTTCATGCTAAATGAATGAAGCTGCTTATCGGGCCGTTCCAATTTTAGTCACTAGAGGGCAGCACAATCTCATGTAGGTCCGGTCTCACTCTTATTGAAAGTACAGCTAAGTTTCATTTTTTAATCTTATTTTTAACATGCAATTCAAGGCAAAGAAAGGATTCTTTTTCATGTTTTCAAACTGTTTATTTTTCTAAATAAAAGACATATTTACAAAATATATAATGCATTTATTTATTTAACAATTTCCACACTTACATTTTTGAGTTTCACCATAAATATAAACGCAGAAAAGCATGATATAGAAGGCTTTTTGTGTTTTACTGTGTTTAACGGCACATGTACAGGCTATTGCGTGTATCTGTGTTTGCCTACAGCAGGTCCTGCTCCACCCAGATGGTTTTCTTCTGCTCGTCCAGTATTCGGTCTTTGATCACCCTGATGAGGTCCTCCGTCCCTGCCCAGGCCTCCGGCTCCAGGGTGGCATACAGACATGGGATGCCCTCCAGCTCCTTCTCTTTTGCGCGACACAGCTTCACAAAGTCTTCCTCTGACTCCACGCGCAGAGGCAACTTCCTGTGTGGAGAGGAAACAGGAAGGAAGCAGCGATGAGGTGGTGAGTGTGGTTTAGAACCCAGTGTTTCTGATGAGATCCTGTCGACAGTCTGCAACAGCGGTCTGCATGCTTTTTCTCAGAAAGATAAGGCTGACGGTAATGGGTTCATGAGCTGGACTGCTATTTAAAGACACAATCCACCATAACACACGTCAAACATCTGGCTTCATTTAAAATCACGTAACGGACAGTTGAGGGGATCACGCACACAGATATTTTGAGTAAGGATCTAGATCTTGGTACCTTTCTGGGCAGGACACACACAAAAAGAAAGGTAATTGCAGCCAGCTACGATTAAAAGTTCAAAAGCAACAACAACATTAAACTGACATCCTCGGCTCAACGCCAACTCTTATCTGGTGTCATATCAAAATATCAGGGACTGTTTTTTTTTTTTTTTCTTGTTCTTGGAAAAAAAGAATTGCGGTTTGCAGCTGTGTGGTTTGAGTCACAGGGTAAACATGCAAGATTAAACAAGCTTTGCTAGGTCTACCTTAATTTCTTGACATTTTTGTCACAGATCTTGACGTAGATGATGATTGGGTAGATTTCTCTCCGCAGAAGGTCCTTGACGCAGCTCAGCTCAGCCTCCAGCAGGCAGTGTTTGCCCTGGTGACGGGTGGAAAAAAACAGCCTTTACAGACAAATACAGATCTACTACGTACATACATGAACAAGGAAGTCTCATTAAAAGATTTTAAAGTTAACTGCTTTCGCATATATATCTATTCATTCTGTTGAGGAGTTAGGTGAGGACTTGGTCTTACAACCTGATTTCTCTGCACTACGAATAAATTAAATGAGGTCGGCCTTGAAGGCTTAACATCTTGACACCGCTGTGTTTCGGCCTTTAACTGCAAGACGCTGTCAGCTGAGGTAGGCCTACCACAGGCTCATCAGACCTAAATGTGTGTCTTGTGGTTAGCCTTTAGATAACGTCTATTTTTTAATTAGCCACAGCCGGTGACAGCTCATTCAGAGGGCACTAGCTTCCTACAGGCCTGCGTTCTGACTCACACTTCCCTCAGAAGCATTGTGATTGAGAAGCCTGCACCCCATTTCCACTGGACACACTTTTTCCATTTTAGCTCCCCTGCTTCGAGTATCACAGGTGTTTCCGTGCTTGGCATATGAAGCACAGGTGGAGACAAACTAGCACTACTTGGACCTCGGGACTACAGCTAGTCAGTCAGCATATTCACCTGGGAAATTGGGGGGGGGGATTTTACTACAGCAGCATTTGTTTTATCAGGCAGAAAAACCAAAACATACTGTTGAACCTCCACCTCTTTTTCTCATACTAACATATGAGGGATTAAATGTGCAGTTCAATTTCTTTACATTGGTGGAAGGGGGGGGGGGGGGGGGGGGTATCACTTAACTGACCCACTTTATTTCAAAAGGTATGAATAGGACTGACAAACAACGGTGTCATTTTTAGAGCAGTTGACTTTCTTTGACTTTTTTTTTTTTAAGGAGAAGAAAAAAGACCGAGACTTGCACTGAACAACTACGCTTTACATCTTTAATGTTTCCTTATTTTGCATATTTATTTATTGTGTGTCTGTGTTTTAATATTGCGTGCACCATGTCTGGATGTAGAAACTGGATTTACCAGCTTTTAACTGTTTTTTACAGCAGATGATACAGATTAAAGAACACGTGTTATTATCAAGCCATCAGACGCCTCTACAGCAACACCCAACTGCTGCTTACAGTTCTCAGTTTCCTCATGTGCAACATGCTGCATATTGCACCCCCCCCCCCCCCCCCCCATCCCATCCCATGTACATTTATTTATTCATTACTTTTTTAACCTTATTTATTACTACAGTAAAACTTTACTGTTTAAACAAGCTTTCTGTTGACCAATGCTTTTTACATTTTTATATTTTTAATTTACATTTAAACTCTATATTGTGTATATCGTGCATTTTGCTATTTATCGTACTGTTTATTTTAATCTCTGCTTTGTGACTACCTGTCTATGAAAAGCGCTTAATAAATAAACTTTACTTACTTACTAACTTACTTCTTTTATCTTAATTTCTTGTTTTTCATCTCATCAAACACATTTCAGTGTTTGTCGTAAATCACACATGACAAATAAAAGTAAAACTGAACTGTAATATTGGTTTGTTTTTTATATGTTTTTAAATAATCATGCTGTATAGAATAAAAGATATGTAATACCATATTGTAGGATCTTTGGTTACCATTATACTATTATTTTAGTTCCCCCTGTAATTTCTATGAACAGTTTATTACTGTAAAATGCTGCGACTCTCATGTTCTCAATTTATTTTCTTTTTTTTAAGTTTTCATATTATGACAGTATATCAGTGTTATCCTAAGAAAGCCATAGGTACACTTGGACTGGTTGCCAGTTTGTCACAGGGCTAACACAGAGAGCCAGACGACAGTCATTCATGCCTTTAGCCAGTTTAGAAACTCAAGTACCCAGCATGCAAAGTCCATACAGCTCCAACCAGCCGGGCCTTTCT